AGGAAAGAAACCAGAAATAAACCAAACAGCAAGCTAACCCATTTGATTGTTTGTGAATATTGCGGTAAAACTTTCAGACAACTTTCTTATTTGGATAGTCATAGACTTCAACACACGAAACAGGGTGAAAAGAAAATAGAAAATGTGCAAAGCACCAAATCTGTTTTTAGTTGCGAAATATGTAAGAAAGAGTTTAGGAAACTTCATCATTTAGTTCAGCACAGGATTATTCACAACTCGAATAGCACAAGCGCTAAAGGAACTCGGAAGAGCTCCTCTGAACAAAGTGAAGTTAAAGTTGAATCTGATGAAGTGACAAAACAAAGTGAAGACACAAGCGCTGGATTCCGCTGTGAGCCCTGTGACAAATCATTTAGGAAACTCCACCATTTAGTTGAACATCGCGAAACACACGATGGTATAAATAGACAAAAAACTACCATTACACCGAGTACTCCATCGAATACCGTTGAAAAGTCTACACCGCCGCCACAATGTGAAATCTGTAAGAAAACCTTTCGAAAATTACATCATTTGATGGAACACAAAGAACAACACAATGAGACAAGTTCGGAAAAATCGGACGACAAAAGTGTACAGAGCTCATTGTCCACGAAAGATATAATACACGAGTGCCCACTTTGCTACATGGTGTTTCCCAATGAGCATTCGCTGAACAAACACACTGTGATTTGTCAACGGAAAAAGAGACAGTCGAAGATGTCTAAACCAAACCCAGATGGCCTAACTGACGCTGTCGAAGGTGTTGAACGTCATGATTCCATTGAATCTAACATTAATGATGAAGATGATGATGACGATGAACCAAAAATAGTTACAGAAGAGATCAAAGTAATTGATTTGGAAAAAGATGAAATTGAAAACGACGTTAAAATTACTGCTCCAGAAACAGTCAAAAATCTGCTCACAATAGACGAAAGTCTTCCAGAAAAACATATTGAAGGAAAAGGTGAAAATCTTGGTGCTATAGTTAAGGAAGATATAGTTGAAGTGTCTGATAGATCCGAGTCTGCGATAGTTACTAAAGTTGCCACAAATTTAAAGAAGAGAGAAGAAAAAGAGATTGGGATGGTTCAGTTGAAAAAGAAACTTGCTCCGAAAGAAAAAGTCGGTTCAACACTAATAAAACGACAAAAGGTAACAAAACCACCACAACCCGTCGTGCACGATGTAAAACCGGTTATAGACTCGAGTGACGATGATGAAGTTAGATACATGTTGAATCCTAATTACCAAATAGATGCTACTGCCGAAGGGAAAACGTTTATGAAAATACGAGCAAATAAACGTAGTTCCCTACAAATTGAACGTCCGGACTCAAAAGAACTAATCAAGAGGAGAACATCATTACAGCACCCTCCGAAAATACCTCGCCTGAAACCAAAGACCGTGGAGGCGAAAGTAGTGGCTTTAAATGTAAAGAGAAGAATTAATAAAGTTACTGAAGCACCAGCCTCGGATTCAGACGATAGTGACGTCAAATACTCTTTCCCCACGGTTATTGCCGAAAAACAGACTAAACCGGCAAAAGAAAACCGAACTAAAGAAACGAAATTACTTAAACCTCAGAGAAAATCGTTGGCAGACAAAAGGAAAACGTTAAGTTCTGTTGCGAAAAGAAAATCTTCGGGAAGGCCTACAATTTCGTCGCACAAAACGAATCCTTCACCAGCTAAACAATTGAAAAAGCGTAAGTATTTGTTTGTAATATTCAAAGCTCCATTACTAAATAATAATAAAAACAAGTAACATAAGTGTCTTTAGATAACCCTACGAGAAGTTTTGCAAGTTAGGTGTATTCTATAAACTGGTGTGTAAATACGACAAAGAACAAACAAAATGTATGGTGGCATAGCGCTCTAAAGAAAGCATTAAGAAATTTATGAGCACAAACAAATGTCATCATGGTTCTGGGGTAATTTGATTTCGGAGTGATTTGCTTGAAAACTTTTAACTGCAGCTTTTGCACTTATAAAAGGTTTAGAAATATAATTAAGAATACTTTATTAGTTCATATGAGGTGACGCACCGTGTTAACATTTTTAACATTTGATGTTAACTTAATACCTTAGAGCCCTTGTATATCACAACGTGAATGACGCCCCTCATTGTTATTCATGCAATGGAAATCTCAATTGAATCTCATAGACACAGTCCACTGAGTTTATTGCCGGATCTTCTCAGTGGGTCGCGATTCTGATCCAGTGGTATATTCTGCGAAGCACTGCTCTTGCTAAGGCTAGTGTTAGCAAATTCTCTCAGGTTGAGCCTGTGCGCTCACCTACCCATCCGGGCGTAGCTGAGATAGCCTTTTAGACTACCACTGAATAGGTAGGGAAAAAAATCAATTGAATTATGTAACTACTCTCCCACCCTTCAAATACGAACTCCTAACTGCTTCGCTATTCGGTCTTGGGCATGACGTGGGAGGAGTTAGAACAGACTGCCCAAGACCGATATAAATGGAAAAATTTTATTCGAGCCCTACACCCCAGCAGAGGGTAATAGGAAAGAATGATGATGATGATGATGAACTGCTTCGGAGTGGAAACAAGGCTTATAATTACGGTCCACCAGTAATTGCACAAATTTAGCGCATTCAATTTTTATCATACGATATTTCCTTAGAATAATCGGTACCTACCTAAGTCACATTGTTCGATAGGAGTAAAGCGAGCGTCTTATCCTTCAGGCCGCGACGAATAAATTCGAAAATTGGGTTACCCCAAAACTAATATTTTCATGTGTAATTATGAAACAGGATTTTTTATGAGGAATGTCATTATTTTATTTCCATTATAAAAAAAATACGCTACACAGCCGAAGGATCGTGGCTCTGCCTCTGGTGTTGTCGATGTCTTCGGGCGGCAATTACCACTTAGAATCCTTACCTAACTTCGCTAGAAAAAACTGATGAAAAAGTGGTAATAATAATAAATCAATTCAAAATTAAAACTTTCGCCTTGTGATAATCACGATTAAACTTAGTGAATGTCATTAGATTAAAAAATATTAACATTAACCGCGATATTTTTGATAACATTTCAGGGACAACAGAGATCGAACACAGGTGTGACTGTGGTCAGTTGTTTAGTAGCGCTGCCCTTTTGTCCCGGCACACCACACTGGCGCATACCCCCCCTCGGATACGCAAACGACGTTCTCCACCGCCTGAGATTGATACGAAGCCTGCCCCGAAACAAACACGCAAATCCACAGAAAGGCCAAAGCAACCTGTCGGCTCTCGGAAGTCGAGCACTCGGAGCGATACCACTGCTCCGACCCAACCTAAAACTACCAGAAAGTCCAGCGTCAAACTCGACGTTAAACCTCCAGAAGCCCGGAAGTCACTCAAATCCTCTGACAAACTCGAAATTTCCAAACAAACGACAGTAGTCAAGGCGAAAAGGAACACCGCCCACAGAGGAGTCCCCGTGCCCGAGAAAATGAGGAAACTCATGCAAAAATCGAAATCATAATGGTACTTAACAAGAGATGTGAGCCGCACATGTTAAAATGGCAGATCCAATACACTCCAGGCGATGTACTCCTCCACGTGAGTGTGGCTCACTTCGTGTTCTTGTATCGTAAATTTTCGAAATCGACTGAATTTTTGGGACGATGTTCGTAGAGTATAAGAATGTTGCTAGTTGTATGGAACCACGCATCAAGAAGCTCATTATAATATAAAGTAACAAACGGACCATGTTTTAAATGAAATATATGTACCAGTTTGGGAACTTTAATTGATTGCATCATTTGTAACAAATACTTTATGCGTCCAGACAGGACTAGCGTTTACTTGTCTGTTTGTAAATGAGAAGTTTATATATTATAGCAATTATATTTTGTCAATTTGTTGTAGAGGTTATATTATATGTGTAAGATTAATTATTATATTTCTGATAAAATATTGGAAACATTTTCAGTTTTAAATTGTATTTTGGGATACTTGTCTAGTAATAGTCTAATTAAATCGTTTTCTAGGTCAGACGAAGATGTGTAGGACAATGTTAAATTTCTTTTTGTGAGCTTATTTTTTCAGAAGTCGTATGCTACGAAATTTGTTTTTAATATAGCTGTACCGGATGTAAGGCTCCCGACAACAAAGACAGGTGGTGACTGATGATTCCTGAATAAGAAGTGTGGATATAATTAGCTAAGGCCACAATATCGTGATCATGTGCAGAACTTGTTCTAGTACATGCAGGATTTACTAGAATATACTAGACGGAACGTACTAGAATTCGTATACAGAAACTACAAGTATTTACATTTAGCTGAGCAAAATTGTACCATAATTCTTTTTACATTAGCGTATTATAATGAAGTACAGGGGCAGTGCCCGCTAATTAATATCCTTAAATTAAGCATATTTTTCGTGTGCTAAAGTTTCCTTTTCTAAATCGGGATTCTTACACTCTGTATGTAAACAGATTAAATATTATTTACTATCCACTGAGAGAGACTTTCTGATCCAATTCATTAGGAAATAGTGAATCTATTGCAATAGTAAATTTCACGGTCTAGTTGTATCCATCAATTAACATCAACAAGATTTTAACTTCAAATCATTATTATGCCTTCAATACGTCACCTGTTTATAGATTCAAGATTAAGGATGAAATATCTGTTGTTGCCAATAACTATCATTACCTACTTATCTTTTTTTTTTCTTAATACATCAACCTTGATCATTTACCACTACGATGAACTAATCTAAATGCGATGATCATCATAATTTTTTTAGTGAACTAGGACCAAAATATATAAATAATGTGTTTTGAATAGTATATTAAAATGTTTTTAATTTTAATGATGTTTATCTACGTGACTAACAAAAATGCAAAAAACAGAGTAGCAGTCTTGTGAGATTTATGTTTTAGAAGCATTTAACATGAAATTTTATAAATGTAGATGATATTATTTTTAATATGATGCAATTTTGATTAATGGGTTATAAATAAAACTACTAAAAGTATAAATAATTGTTTGTTTATTTAATATTTAAGATTGGTTCCCTAGACTAATCTAAATTTGAATCATGATAATTAAGCCAGTTTTATCAATACAACCGTCATGTTCTTCACCTTCAACCTCTTTCACAAATAATATCTACAATACTAGGTTCCATTAGTTGTGGGTCAACGCATCTCAACTGTGCTGATGCTAAAGCATCTTCAAGCAAAGCATTTAGAAGCCTCTCATCATTGCCCATACATGAAAGCCTTTGCTGTAGAAAGTGAACATCAACTTGTAATTGCTGTAGGCCATGCCTTCCAAATGTGCGTAGGCGCACACATTCAACTAATGCTTTCAAAGCTACTTTTAGGGCACCATTTGATAGTGCAGCTCTGTCTGCCCCTGCAGGACTAAACACTTCAATTCTTTCAGAGAATATCCTATTAAGAGGTGAAAAAGAAGAAGGAGCACGTGACCAAATAGTACGCCGACTGGAGTCACTAGAAGGTTTAATACTAGTTGGAAACAGTTGAGATGCAGCACCATCAGCACTAGCTAAGGTCTCCACTACTCTTCTGCATACTGCTCTTGGCCCCCTTGGTTCTGGAGCTCGCAACCAATCTCTAGCTAATACAGATACTCTCAACATTTGGGCTGCAGTCTGGCCAATAAATACAACTTCTGAATCTAGCGCAGTCTGCGCTGCAGTAGATAAGTGGACCATGACACTACTAGTATCCTTGTTATCCACAGTGAGGCCAGGAGCAGCCTCTTCTAAGAGTTTGAGAAGATGGTTCTGTAATGTCGAGACACCAGTCTCTTGCATATCCAAACATAGCTTAGCTAGTATAAGTAGCAATTCAAAAGGAATGTTGTTATTTGAAGTCTGAAGGCAAGCCATCTTTTTTACCAGATCAGAAAGATTAGCCATAGTTTCATTTATGACTTTTGAGCAAGCATCGGCTACTGCTTTTGCACACCAAGGTTTTAATCCAAATGATAAATTATTTTGTAAGAATGCCATTAGATCTAAGAGTGAGGCTTGAATTTTTTGCATCAGATATACTTGAAGGGAGTTCAGTATATCTTTTAAGTCAATTGTTTCTGACCCTTTACTGGCCAAAGACTGTCTTACTTTCATAAGACTGTCTTTAAATTGAGTCTGTATGCTCTGGTACTGTACCATAGCCTTGTGATTTATACACTGAATGACAACCTCAGTGCCTTTACTGGACATCATATCACTTGATGATATTTCGGTCATAGCCTGGAGTTTTCTGAAGAATTTGTCAAGGCCCCTTATTAACATTTCAGTTCCATTGTTCTCGGGTCTTTTAATGACCTCTTCGAATAAATGAAAAATTTGAATCATTATTTTATCAGCAAATTCGGGTATGATAGCTTCTTGTTCGAACATTTCATTGTAACATGATATTATAATAGCTAAATCAGCCAACAATGTATTATTGCATTTTTCTACCCAGTCCAAAATGTCTGTATGTTCAGCTATAGAACTGAGCATCTGCAAGTGTTTGTCAAGACGACTCTCTGCACAACTAAGGAATATATCTTGTAAGGATGAATCACTTTCTTGGAGCTGCCTTAAAAGGGCTACACTTTCAGCAAGTTCAGTTGCAGATGTATTAGGACTGATAAGTCTTTCACGGAGTGTCTTCTTCAGTTCAAATATAATTTCTGAACACTCAGTCTGTATGCTTTGGAATGAAGGCTGATTGCCATATTTTTGGAGTACTCGCTGAGCATGTGAATAGTCTTGTACAGCATCACTGTATCTGCCTTCTGCTATTGCTTTGTTAAGTTGAGAAGGTAGAAGGAAAAGGAACTGCAGTTTATCTAACAGCTGTCTTGTACCACACAAACGTCGAACATTATTACCGCTGCCTTGGAGATTTTCAGATATTTGAGAGCTGAATGTAGTTATTTTATTGATATTCTCGCTAAGTTTATTCATTTCTTCTTGCATTATTTTAAAATCGGAACGCATTTTGCGTACAGTTTCGGTCGCCGAAATAAATTTATTATAATTTTCATAAACCAATGTCTGCATTTCTGATTGTAGAAATTGACTTTGAGTTACAATTTCCGCTTCTTTGTCCATTACTTGCTTTAGGGTAGCGCATTTTAGAAGACAATCTAAGTAGACGTCTGGGCTGAAACTACTGCTGTCGATGTCCAGAGGATTTTCTTTAACCGCTTTGGCTTCCTCCATATTATGTACTTTGTTCAATAGGTATAAAAATGATTCGTTTAAAGCTAATCTCCTTAATAAAATATATTTGCGGTTTATTGGTTCGTCTGCAATTCTAATTTACCAAAGAGAATAACTATTTAGAAACACAAAATTTCAGCTGCGAGGACTGACGTCGATAAAACCTTATGAGAATGATAACAGTTATGTTTATTTATACTATATCCTACTTTTCTAATACTCCGTCTTATAAATGCAGTTTTAGATTAAACAATCTAGCTTATATATTTTATTTCTGTATGTACAATAATGTACATATGACGACATATGTCATTGTATATTAAACATACATAAAGGTACCGTAAAATGGGGCGATTAGGGACAAATTCCAACTTTATGAGCAATTTTAAGGTAGTTGTTGATGTATATAATGCTATATCAGGATCAAAATGATTGAGTCTTGGGGGCATCTTTGTTATCCAATTTAAAATTATGCAACTAGCATTCCAGTTTAAGCAAAAAATGCAAAAATAGGTGTAATCCCTATTTACCCGAAAATTACGGTTAATTGGGACGAAATGAGAAATTTGCTAGGGTTGGCACTACTTTTATTTTTATATATAGTTTTAATTTATTTATTTATTTAGTTGCACCAACAAAGTGATCATCAATAAAAAAAATTGAAAAACTGACAAAAGTACATGGCAGACATCACCTCAATTATAGGTGCAATCGACAATGCTGATATTTCTATCTGGGTTAAGAGATTAGGTGTGTCGGTTATTCCATGGATTAATCAGATGAATACCCCCACTCTGAACAAATATTAAATATTTTATTATGTATTACTTAGACATTTTTGTCCACCTTGAGATTTCATTGATCTTGTTACATGTCTCTGCAAAATCGACTTACTTATATTAAATTGCTTATCTATTTCAACTAAAGACTTATTCCCAATTTCGCTTCGAATAAACCAGATTTTTACCAACAAATTTAAAAAATATTGTTATAACTACATAGACAACCCTACAAACCTGTACCTATTTATACTTAGGTCGTTTCCATTTCACGTATTCTCATCCCAATTGACCCCTTTTTCGTTGTTATTTGTACCTAAGACGTCCCCAATATCCCCAAAAACAACAGATTTTTACATGTATTTTTATTTAATCAAATACATTAAAACCAATAACAACTGAGACTTACCTTTAATATATATGCTGGTTCAAACACTAAATAACGTTTATAAATCATAGTCGTCTTCTATTATTATCAAATAAATAAAAGAGAGCAAAGTTTCTAGCACTAAAATAATTACCACCACAGGAAGTTAATTTGAAACGCGATTTTTTATAAGATAGCAGCTATTATCATGCATATTCAGAGTTGTTTTGTGAACTTTCAACATTCTACTATTAAACTACAAAAAATGGAAGATTTTGCAACGAATATAAAACTTATATTGAGCGTCGAAAGATTTTCCCGGTTTTTTCCCGATTCGCCTCTCAATCCCTAATCGCCCCATTTTACCGGTACCTACCTATGTACGTATGATATTATTTCCCCATTTTTTTAAATAAATTTTACTATCTTGGAAACAAAGTCTTTTATGCCAAATTAGTTTTTATTATTAAAATTTATGTAAGGTAATCTCTATTATACGTACTGCTATGTACTGCGTTTTTTGAATATTTTATGGCTGGCCTGGTAACAAGACCTTTAAGCGAAGTACTCAGTACTTACTAGTCCACTGAGTTTCTCGCCGGATCTTCTCAATGGGTCGCGTTTCTGATTCGGTGGTAGATTTTGCAAAGCACTGCTCTTGCTAGGGCCAGTGTTAGCAACAGTCCCGGTTTGAACCCTGTGAGCTCACCACGTCAAGGTGAAGCTGAAATAGCCTCTCAAGGCTATCAGCATTGGTAGGGAAAAGTACTTATATTCATTTTAATTATATTACTCATGAGCATACACGGGTAATGCACTAAATATAGAAAAGAACCACGGGTACTGTATCATTTCCTATGGTAGTTCAGAACATCCATGGTGGAACATCCACGCAGCCTTCCTCTTCTTCTTATCACGTTATCTCATGTTATTGCCCTTATCTCATTTCTTTTAATTCTTTTTTAATATATCCCATCGCTCTTTTTGAGTTTTCGGACAACAGCCAGCCTTTCATAACAAAATATTTGGTTGTATAGTCAAATATATCTTTGCCCATAATAACGAATCAACAAAAAAAAATATTTTGAAGTTTGTGTGTTTAAATTTGAAAACTTTCTGTTGCGAATTGTTTTGTGATTTTTTTGCTAAAATACTTCTCATAAACAATAGAAAAACTTGTGAGCAAAAAACGTAAGGATGGCTCCTCGAGATGTCCCCAAACCGACGCCTAAAGTGCAACGAATGGTGGGAAAGACTAATCAGACTAAAGGACGCGCTTCGCCTGCGTCTGTTAAGAAAACGATGTCGTCTATCAAAAAGGCGACTGAAAAGATACCTTTAAAATGTAAGATTCCATTTTTACACTCTCGAGGTAAATCTATTCAATATCCCTTCCTTAGGCTTGTGGTTTGAATTTCCAAAGATTTCTCAACGGATGTTCTTCAATTCCGAGAGCCGTTAATTAAAACAATTTTTTTTAAATCTCGTTTAAAGTTTTAATTTCATTATTTCCGACTTTTAGTGGTCACAAACGGCTTATGTATTATTCGCCAACATTTGCATATTGCTCTAAGAACGATCTTATCAAGAGAATCAAACTTGAAATCCTTAAAACGCAAATTGTAGTACCTATTTACATTTTTTACATCCGAGGACGTCGTGTATTAAAACCAAATAACATAAGTAACAACTGAAAAATTCAATAACTACCGTGATATCATGGAAATTTGTATCCTAAGGAAAACACTAAATTTGTTAAAGTCTGATGGAAGGGAAATGAATACAAATAAATAATATAAATAATTTCTAAAATTTAAAGTCAGGTATTTCTAAGTGCCTTTTTCCTTATATTTATTTTTGAATAGACTCTAATGAAGGCTTCATGCCTCCAAGTGATGTAAAAAAAAAACTAGTAATTACAGTCAAAATCTGTTATAACGATATCGAAGGGACTGCTCATATTCAGTCGTAAAAACCGATAGTCATAACAACTGGTGATGTTTAATGTGTATCGTGCAAGTACAAACAAATCGATAGGGAATTATTTGAAAAATATATTTATTCAACTATGTACATTTTGTTTATTACATATAAGTACAATGCTATTTTTCTGTGAGCATAAAATCTGCAATTTTGGCCTGTTTGGAACACTTCTGCTGTGCATAGATATTTTGTAATTCACATTGGATTTTAATTAACGTATCGTCATAATTGCTGTGAATGTGTTCATTAAAAAGAACAATCTTTCTTAATACACTAACAGCATTGATACCATCACTCAAAGTTGGTACAGTAAATTGTTCTTCAGAGTCTTCCTGTTCGTCATCTTCTTCTTTAACATTTCGTATAATATCATCTTCTGTAGCTCGTGCGCAAATTGCAATAGAGTTATCTACATCAATGAACTCTGCTGCTTCAGTAATAGATAAAGCAGGTCGTAAATTTTGGGCTAATTGAGCAACAGAAATATTGTCCTCTCCATCATCATCAGTCACATCATCTGAGGTTATTGTTAAGAGGTCTTTAAAACCAGCATGCTTAAAGCAGTTAGCTATAGTGTTTTGTGAAACGTTTTCCCATGCTTCTGATATCATCAAGATGGCATCAAGAACCGTAAAGCTTTTTTGGTTGCTACTGTCAAGGTTTTGTATTAACTTTAACACTTGCAGTCTTCTATAGTGAGATTTTAAACACCTTATTACACCTTGTTGCAATACAGATGTAACATTTGGTGGTAAGAACACAAGTTTAATGCATTTTAGATTAGTAACAGCTGAATGAGCAGGACAGTTATCAACCAAAAGTAGAACTTTCTGTTTGTTTCCTTTCAATTCAGCGTCCCAGTTTCTTAACCATCTCTCAAAAATGTCCGATGTCATCCATGACTTCACATTGTTTTCATACGTTACCGGCAGTGAGTGTATGTTAAAGCATCTTGGTTTCTTAGATTTGCCAATAACTAAAAGCTTTCTTTTACAGGATCCTGTCATATTTGCTGCAACCATGATCGTTAATCTTGTTTTAGACATTTTTCCTCCCAAACAATTCTCTCCTTTGAACTTTAAAGTCTTGTCTGGTGTCATATTGTAAAAAAGTCCAGTTTCATCTGCGTTAAAAATTTCATCTGGTCCGTAGCCTTCGAATAATGTAGGCCACTTATGCGTCATCCATTCTTCTACAGTATCCTTATCAACACTAGCAGCTTCACCACTCATTTTCCCGCCCACAATACCGTGCCGAGCCCGGAAACGTTGAATCCAACTAGACGAGCAAACAAAATCTTCGCCAAAACATTGAGCAAAATCGTTAGCTTTTTGTTGAAGAATCGGTCCGTTTATTGGCACATTATTAGCCCTTTGATATTTAAACCACTTTAACAAAGCTTCCTCAATATTCGTATGCTTCGTTGTTCTGGCTCGCTTCATTTTAAAAAAATTATTGTCATAAAGCGTTTGAATTTTTTCTCGCTCTTTCCAAATGGTTGAAATTGTCGAGTGTGATACACCATATTCCTTTGCTAAGTCTTTGTTTGAAATTCCGCTCTCTAGCTTGGTTATAATACGCGATTTTTCCTCAATATTAATTTGTTTTCTTTTTCTTTGTGACATTTTGAAAGTTTCACGAATAACTCCACAAAGTGTTGGCGCGTCTTGTGTATAGATAAGTAACAAACTAACTGAAGAGATATGAAGAAGCGGGCTTTGACTCTACTGCATGCACATGTGTTGTTTCTAAGAATTAGAAAAGACCCTACACTAAACTAAATCCTATTGTTTTCTTTCCTGATTTTAATAGCCATTGAAGACAAATGTGTATACCTATTCAAATTGTTTACAATACAGCATAGCCGGTTGTTCTAACAGATTTAATTCTCCAAAATATTAGTTAAATGTGGTCGTTTTATGAGGTATATTAGGTTTTGTAAGCAATAAAAAAAAAGGTATGCCGTTATTAGCAATGTCGTTTAAAGCAATATTTTTAATAAGGCAGTCATATGGCATTCAGCCGGGACCTTTGTTCTAGGTGATTATAATCGGCATGTTGTTTTAAACGATGTCGCAGTAAACGGTTTTGACTGTACTTTCTTTATAAATAAAATAAAGAATAAATCTATAACTTATTTTTAGTGACTAATACGATCTCAGAGCCTCGTCAAAGGACAGCAACTGTACCAAAAGTTGCAACACCAAAACCAAAAGAGAACAAATCAGTTCCATTACCAAGCAGCACCAGCAAAAGTGCAAAGAAAGCTTCATGGAAACGTAGGCCTAAACCAGCACACTCTGGTGTACCTGTACCTGAGAAAATGAAGAAATTATTACAGCAACAATTCAAAGATTTGGATAGCAGTCTTTAATTTTATGTTTGTGTACTGATTTTGTTTAATCATTGAATCCACAGTCCCACATACTGTGATCATTCATAAGACTTAAGGTGTATGCACAAAGAAATTTCTTTTATTTACTATGCAAAAAAGGTACAAAAATCTTCTGGCTCTCAAGATATTTAGTTTTTAGTTGTAAAAATTTAATTTTGTTAAATTTATAATTAGTTAATCTTTTTTTTTTTTAAGTCTTATTCTCTGTATAATTTTTTGCCTAAAACCTGACGAATTTTGACAAATTGTTTTTTGGTTTTTTACAACAAAAAAAAAGCAAAGTTTGTAGCATACAAAAGTATAATTTCATTGTACCATTTTGAAATCTTCATTAAAATAATTTTTGTGCAGTAATCTAGCAATCTGTTTTTGCTAAAAATGAAGTCCACCAAAAATCAGAAATAACTTGTTTGCTATTATTTTTCATTGTAAATTTTTTTTTTCCATTTACTTATCTTATTATGGGCCATGTAAAACTTAAGTAAATCTTGTAATAGTAATTATCTATTTACAGTTCAATAATGAAGAAAAAAACAACAGAATTTATATTTGGTCAGGCTTGCCATATACATATACTGATGTTTCTTTTCTACTTAGAACTTGTTTGAATTCTGTTGTCACTGTCAAACAGGTAGTTTTAATTACCTACAGATCGTTCACCGTAAGTTGTCCCCTGCCGTGATGTTGGCACTATTACTTGTCATTTTTGTCAATCTGTTGTTGTCATATTGTCTGTTGTGACGTGTGCATTTAGTTTTTGTGTTAATATTTAATATCCTTCAAATTAATCATGCCAAAGCCATTTAAAAGCAGTGCAAGAGAGATTGTGTTGAAGGTTCGTGCCTTTTGTGAGAGAGAAAAGGCAAACCAAGCCCCGTTAATTAGACTCGATCAAGTGCGAGCACGAGTCGCCGCAATGACAGGTTAGTAAAATGGGGATACAAGCTTCAGACACAATGCCTTTAGTATGGGTAATAAGAATTTACTGACATAAAGAATTAAAATAAAAAAGTACACATCTCAGTGAATTTAATTTATTTCGATAATATGGTCATTACTTGAGTTTATATAAATATTAAATTTTATAAAAGGATACAAATTTTATGTGTCTATTTCAGGCATGTCGGAGAAAACCGTGAGTAGAATAACTAAAGAAGGTGAAGTTGCTGTCTCTACGTCTCAAAAACTCAAGTCTCCTGGAAAACACCGTCAAAAACGTAAAACGGTGGATCTTGATGATTTCGATTTATGCGCATTAAGAAATAAAATCCATGAAATGTATACTGTCAGAAAAGTTGTTCCTACCTTGAATAAATTACTTATTGAATTAAGGAATGATATAAACTTTGGTGGAGGTCGAACTACTTTGTGGAAAATTTTAAAACGAATCGGATTTCAATACAAAAAGTGTGGTTCGAAGCGGAACATTTTAATGGAAAGACACGACATAGTTGCATGGAGACGCAAGTATATCGATACTATGAGGATAAATCGTGTAGAAGGTCGGCCAATAGTTTTCTTAGATGAAACATACATTCACGCATCATATGCAGTGCAAAAATGTTGGCAAAAAGGTGACGAGGACGGAGTACTAACAAGATATTCTCCTGGAACGCGATGGATTATTGTTAATGCTGGTGGAGAAATGGGGTTCATTTCTAATGCTCAATCGATTTTTAAATCACAGAGTAAATCAGGGGACTACCATGACGATATGAATAGAACAAATTTTATGAAATGGCTTTCAGAGAAACTTATACCCAATTTGCCTCCAAACTCGTTAGTCGTCATGGATAATGCTCCCTATCAGATACAAGTGAATAAAGCATCTACTATGAGTTCCTCAAAACTCCAAATGCAAGAATGGATTACAAATAAGGAATTGTCTTATTTACCAACAATGTTGAAAGCAGAGCTTTATCAAATTATAAAAGAGCACAAAGAAGCGCCCATTTATGAGGCTGACCAATTATTGATAAGTCATGGCTATAAATTGGTTAGGTTGCCCCCCCTATCACTGTGACTTAAATGTTATTGAGTTTATGTGGAGTCTTTTAAAGAGACGAGTAGCTAGCAATAATGTCGGCCAAGAAGCTGGTAATATCGCGAAGTTAACTGAAGAAGCTTTTTCATCAATAACTCCTCAGGATTGGCAAAAACAGTGTGAACACGTAAAACATTTAGAAGACAAATTTTATGACCGTGATGGCTGCATGGATAATATTACGGATAAATTCATAATTGAACTAGGAAACGACAGCAGCACAGATTCGGATACGTCAGACGACGCTTATGCAAGTGACAGTGATATGTCTGGAATCGTTTCTTTCGACCATAATTACTGTCAGGAAAAATGAAATAAATAAATAATTTAAAATTTAAATTGTGTCATAATTTACAACCTTCCTAGTCTTTTTTTAGCTATATTGTTTGCAACACCGTTGGCAATGCTACCAACACTCAAGGCAGGGGACATCTTATGGTGAACGGTCTGTACCTTAGAGATGCCAAATAAAAAATGTAGACAAAGTATGTGTCGCCAGTGTCGTCATCACATCGCTCTATAGTACTCTGTAACATTAGTAATAGAAATAAAGAGACATAAAATTGATTCAAATAGGACGATTATAGATTAGAAGAGTCATTTTTAAAACTAAGGTATTTTTGAAGAATTTTGTATTTCAATTAAGTTGAGGCATTAATGGGAAGTTGTAATTGTATTGTAAATGGCATTCCTAACTCCTCAAAGCCGACTGCTTCGCGGTAGAAATAATCAGTAGGGTGGTACCAACCTGTGCGAGCTTCCAACGCGTCCTACCACCAGTATTTTAGAAAGATTATATTCAACGTCTACATGAAAAAATTGTAATTGAATAAATAAAAATTTCTAAATAATAAAGATAAATAATATAAATTGTTTTATTTGTCATTGTAAATTATAACCAAGCTACATCCGCGGCTTCGTTATAGAAATCGATAATAGATTTCATATCGAGTTAGTAGTTCAAAAGATAAAAACACTGCTACCAGCGCTACTTATCTGACAGTGACGTAACTATGTTCGTTGGAGTGGCATGCCGCCTTCGGTGTGTACAGTGTTGCCACCTTGGTGGTTTTCCCACCAGAACTGGTGATTTTTCGAGGCATTTAGTGGTATTTTTTCATTTTAGAGCGCTTTTATTATTTTTAGTGGTTTTTGGCGGTTTTTTAATAAGGAATCTGGCAACATACTTTTGATAGGAAAATCTCTTAGTATTCCGAATTTTCATGATGATGTTTTCAGTTTAGGTACTCTATAACCGGGAAATTCCTAGGCGAGATCGTTTATTAATGAATGTTTTGTTTTTACTTTGCCCCATTCTAATGCGGGTATCGAAAGAGTACTTAGTGTAATGAACATTGTAAGAAGTAAACTGCGGAACAGGATGGCTCACTTTTAAATGCTATTATTTTTATAAAAATAGGCTTAAAGCTATTGATGCAAAGTGTTTCAACTATGAATTACCAAGCGATGTCATAGCACCTATTGGTCTAAACATAAAATAATCTTACAAAACCACAAGACTATAGCCACCAACACCTTTGGCGTCGACATCGTCGACGGTAGTATCTACGAGTAAGAATGATGATGAATTTGTAGATTTTTCATTTGATAGACTAGAATTTTAATTTGCACACATTTCACTTGATTTTTACTCTTCTAATTCTTATTCTTACTCTTCTGATTGAAAAATAAACATATTAATGTGGTTTTATTTTACTGCAGTGCAGTTTTACAGTTTTCTGAGGAGTTCCCGTAATCTATAGCTAATGAATCGTTCATTCAAAAGTGTCATTTAACCAATCGTAGATATCTCTTAATAAGGAACCAGTGAAACTGGCTCTAAACATAATCTACTTAGGGTTTCTTTAGTCTGATTCAAGTTCAAAAACTTAGCGGAAGTTGGTGGTTTTTTTATTAGCAAAATTTCCGAAATCTGGTGATATTTTTCTCTTGACCTAGCGCTTTAAAAAAATCTGAGGTGGCAACACTGTGTGTGTACAGTTTCTTATTGATTGGGCTAACGGTTCTCGAGTTTCACGTTGAAACATACGTTGAACATTTCTTAAGTACGTATTTCATTAGAAAAATTGATACGCGCCTGCAGGATTCGAGCACCGGTTCATCGCAAGATATGAATGCACCGGACGTCTTATCCTTTACGCCACGACGACGACTTATTCTTTTAGATTCTTAATATAAATAATATTGAAAAAAAAAGTATTAAAATAAGTCGTACCCTATTTCATGTAATTGAAAACAAGAATAGGCTATTAATACAGGTACGTAACCTCCTATTACACTGTAGATACGTTCCTACAAAGTCCCGTTTTGTGGGAAACAGTGTTAGGTATAAGTATGAAATATTACAGTCGTCGTGGCCTAAGCGATAAGAGTCCGGTGCATTCGTGTTGAGCGATGCACCGGTGTTCGAATCTCAGGCGGGTACCAATTTTTCTAATGAAATACGTACTCAACAAATGTTCACGATTGACTTCCACGGTGAAGGAATAACATCGTGTAATAAAAATCAAACCCGCAAAATTATAATTTGCGTAATTACTGGTGGTAGGACCTCTTGTGAGTCCGCGCGGATAGGTACCACCACCCTGCCTATTTCTGCCGTGAAGCAGTAATGCGTTTCGGTTTGAAGGGTGGGGCAGCCGTTGTAACTATACTGAGACCCTTAGAACTTNACGATTGACTTCCACGGTGAAGGAATAACATCGTGTAATAAAAATCAAACCCGCAAAATTATAATTTGCGTAATTACTGGTGGTAGGACCTCTTGTGAGTCCGCGCGGATAGGTACCACCACCCTGCCTATTTCTGCCGTGAAGCAGTAATGCGTTTCGGTTTGAAGGGTGGGGCAGCCGTTGTAACTATACTGAGACCCTTAGAACTTCTATCTCATGGTGGGTGGCGCATTTACGTTGTAGATGTCTATGGGCTCCAGTAACCACTTAACACCAGGTGGGCTGTGAGCTCGTCCACCCATCTAAGCAATAAAAAAATAATGAAACTATATAGTAGAAGTTAGTACTAATAGAAGAGTATTATTTCTGAATAAAACATCTTAATTAACCGGGTGGGCTGTGAGCTCGTCCACGCACCTAAGTAATAAATAAATAAAAACTATGCCTTTATACATTTTACTAGGTACTTATAATAAAAAAATAAGCTTAACATTTCGGTATATCGTGTGTTCATAATGCTGTAATTTTCTAAATAATTTTAAACAAAAAAA